CCACCGACATGATCATTAACACATGGCCCGATTGCATTAATAAGATCTTATAAGCCCATTAGAGTTTACTAATCATATTTAGAGCTCTCTAACCAAATAATGAATCTACTAATAACGCTATAAATAAAAACCTCAGCTCATTGGAAAATGTACGTTCCGACAAATCTTCTGATTCCTATTGATCTCGTATTCTCGACCCTACCTTTCGTCCAAGCATCTGACTTGTGTGTCCCGTTTAATCCATCAATGTGTGTGAAAACACGTTGTCTATATATAAAAGATTATATTGTGATTTGAGGTCTCGAATTGCGTGCAAAATTATCCAAATGAAATATGCATGTCACATGTTTCTTGGTCACATTTGGGCAATTGTAGTGGGTATGAACTAAGGAAGAATGGATTTTGACGTGAAAAAATTCAATTTTCCATATATAAGCCAACATTCATCACTTATTATCACCTCCAAAATGTTTTTTTATTCAAATTTGGGTACAATAATTAATCTTTTGGCTCTACCTAAAGTTCAGTATATCAGAAATTTCATTTGTCTCTTCTTTATTCATATTGCAATAATTTGCTTCAAACATGTAATAAAAATTTGTATTTTGTACCTATTTTCGGTGCTTTTCGTTATGGCCCGTGTTCACTCGGCTGATACACCGATCGAACCGAGAATTTGATAGTGTCGAAAATTTAGTTTGGTATTCGAAAATATATTTTAGAATTTTAGTATTCGGTACGGTATATGTTATAAAATTATAATTCTAAAATTGTAAAAAATATTCTAATTTTATTTATAATCTGCCAATTTCTAAAATTTTCAAAAGTTTTTGCATACATAACCCAAATTTTATTAAAATTGAAAAATTGTTGGAATAAAACAAAAATGAACCGTGTTCTTTGGGTGTACGTACCATATCACACGTGGAACATACCTAGTTGATGACACGTGTAGCAATCGCAACGGTCCCAGAAAAAGGGGAGAGGTCCTGAGGATCCTTCACCAATCACCAAATCATTTTAAAGGGTGAATAGGACGAAATTGTCCCTATAAGTATGTTTGTAGGTCGCATTCATCCCTGAATCTGACGGTTCCTTCGACCCTACACCCGGTGAAAAACACTGGGTGGGTCTTCTGCTGCCACGTGTTTTTTTTTTTATTTACTCTCTCAATATCCTTCATTTTCAATAATTAATTACATACACATCCTGCAATTTGTAATTTTTTTACATTTACGTCCTTTTGTAAAGGAGTAGATATAAAAGATTTACAAAATGAAGGGGTTGGATTAATTTCCTAAAAAGAATGTGCTATTTCGTAATTTCCTTGCAATTTATTTGATTATTAGTAAGAATTTACATAGATTTTCGGAAAAATAACATTTTTTATTCAACGTAAAATTTAAAATAAATAAATCATTCAAGAAGCATAGAGTAATCCACATGTCCGACTGCAACGGCCCATCCAAATCGGGCCGGTTCCGAAGCCCATTAGCCCGAAGTCTAATATTTTGTTATATTATTTATAATAAGAATTCCTTTAAGCCCATTATTAAATCTTAACTACAATTTGATACGATGCTAATTAAATGGAAAATCAAGTTTTAGGTGGTGTTTGCAAAAGCTTATTTAAAAGCATACGTTAGTGATTGTAAGTTAATTTTGATATTAAGTGCTTAATTCTAAACTTTTGCATAAAATCTGGAAAATTAATTAAAATAGAGAAAACATATGCATATACATGAAATTATAGTTTAAAACAACTTATTTTAAGAGAAGCAAAAGCAAAAGTCAGTTTTGCAAACACCTAAAAACAGATTATGTGAGGAAATAAGCTCATAATTTATTTTTAAAAGTTTTTGCAAACACCATCTTAATTAATCCTAAGAGTAATCTTCTGACGTGGCAATGGATTAGAATGCTAATTAAATAGAAGATTAAGTTTAAATAAAACGTTGTTTAGCAAACTAGCCTCCCCTAGTAGTTTACATAAAAAGAATATTCTTTTTCTCAAATGACAAGTTGTCCATAAGAAAATTACATGATATGTTTGTTCTATTTAAATAAATAAACAAAATAAAATAGTAATAATAACAAAAACAAAGATGTTGCATTTATTTCAGCAAACGAACATGACTACATAAAATCATTTGTCGTTTGGCAAATTTTTCGATTAAGATTCGGAGTTTATTAATGACTTTCGCACGTAAATTTCACCATAGATCTTTTATTTGATGATTTATATAGCATTTATTTCACCATAAGATATATTGCATCTATATAATATATGGGATTATTTTGTAGATTCCGTCATTTTCAAACTATATAGAACTAACGATCAAGTAGATTACACTCTAAGGAAAATCCTTCTCATTTCGAAAATATTTTGACATATCCCTCTGAGCTACCCTAAAGTACCTATAATACGCTTTTAAATTCAGTTTTAAACCATAGTCACTCACATTTCGGCGTCTCTCAGATTTAAAATCCCGCCTCCACAAACCTCCCATCGGCGAAATTGCTTCCCGGATTCATAACTCTCTCTCCGGTGGTCGGAGTTCGATGGTTTAACTACCTTTGGATTCTTCTCGTCGAGCTCTTTCTTTTGGTGGTGATTTCATTCAGTTTGGAGCGCAAACCTGTTTCTGCATTTTTTTTCATTCGACGACGGTGGTCTTTCTGGAGGTGTACTTGTGTTCCACCAGTCGAAATTTGACGGGCTACCCACCGTTGGATTCCTCTCGTCGAGATCTATATTTTGATGGTAATTTCATTGTTTTTATGTTTTCAGATTTATTTTTATAATTTTTTACATTTGTGGGCGGCGCCTAGGGTTTTGTTAGGAGGCGAGGGGGGTAAGGAGTCACTGTCTATTTGATTTAAAATATGTAGCATTTCCCAGCAATAACCTCTCTCTCTATCTCTCGATCTCTTAGTGTTTATTGATTTTTGAGTGTTTTGATATTTCTTCAAATTTTGTTGATTTACACTAAAGTAATTTTTTTTGTTTTGATTTTGCAATTGCAGTTTAATGAAAGCCATTGATCCTCACCTTGAAGGTGTCAAAAATTTGGTTGAAGTTACATGTGAAACAGTGTTCAACAAACAACAAACTGTATACATTACTATACATATAGTCACATGTAGTTACATATGCATATATTTGTGTATTTTCGATTTGTATTTTTATTAGTTCTGAGGTGATTTATAATAAAAATATTGATATTTGTAATTTTTTTGTTGGGGTTTATGAATTTCTTTTGTATAAGCCAGTATTCGTATGTGTGTACAATTGATCGACTAAAAATATGGGGGGAAAAAACGAACATAACTACGAATTACTATAGGTACTATAGTTACATGTAGTTATTTTCAGTACAGTAAACATATTGTTTTGAAAATAAAAAAAAATTAAAAAATTAATTTTTTTTTTATTTTTCAAAAAAATTAAAAATTAAAAAAATATATATATATATAAAAATTTAACAAACATGTTTATTATTATTAAAAATAATAATAATAATAATAATAAATAAATCAACGAAAATGATAAATGTAGCACTAGAAATGTTGAATGCACATGCGGATTTCGAGACTTAAGGTATGTTTTTTGATATAAAAAAGACAAAAATACCCTTTAAAACATAAATTTAGAAAATTATAAATTTACCCATAATTTTTGTAAGACCCAAAATAAAAGTTTCATAATTTTCTTTCATATTTAATATAAAATAATATTTTTTTTAAATTGAAATATTTTTAAAAAAATATTAGGGGTAATTTTGTCATTTCATTTAAATCAAGAACCAGTTTTAACGTAAGAAGCTGTGTACTTTATAAAACATAACATAGGGATGTTATTGTTAAATATTTTTAATATATGGGCTTTTTCGACAATTAGAGATTACAGAGCGGGGGTGTGTGCTAATAACTCCAAATTTAAATACATCAATCAACATTTGACCACTAAGTTTTGATATCATCCTTATCACTACCCATTTGTTTTCTTCTTTAAGGTACAATCCTATCCTTTAACGAGCAACCATGGATGTTTCGAGTACAACTCAAGCTAAATTATTATTTATCTTTTTATTTATTCTTTATTATGAAAATAAATATGATTTTGATTTAAAAAAAAAAGCAAATTAAATGTATGTCAAAATAATCGGCTGCTGGCAAACAGAATGGAGAGGAAGAGTACGATAAAAAACCTGACATTGAATTATTATCTCTCCACATGAAATCCAGTCACCCCCCTCTCATGCATGAACACTTACACACACATATTTTGTCTTCATTTAATTAATTGTTTATTTTATTTTGTTATTATATATTTAAATTAAGATCTGATGAATCAATGCTGCATTGGGAGTAATATTTTGTTAATTTACAATTTCTTTTTACTATTTATAATTAGCCAATGGCAATTACGTCATCTCCTCAGCATATTCCGCGACTCGACTAGTTTTTATTAAATTAATTAATTCGATATATATTACTTTAAATAAGTACAGTACCAAAATTCCATTTCTCTTTCTATGAACGCCGTCATCTATATAAATATAATATTACTCCAATCAATCATGGGTAGATTACGAAAACTCCCCTAAACTTAGCTTAAATATCGAAAAACACCACCACCTATTTATAATAGTCAAAATCCCCCTCTGATCAACTGCTGCTCGAGTTTTTTAACAGAAAATGTGTACAGTCTAGTATACTTTCTATTAAATAGGTGAGAAATAAAAGAAAATATCTGAAATTGTGTAGAAAGTCAATATCCTTGACTCAAAAAATATCCGTGAAAATTTACACTGTCAGGGAGTTTTTGATAATATGAATAGACGAAGGTGGTTTTTGCAATTTAATGTAAGTTTAGGAGGAATTTCGTAATTTATCCATTAATAATTGCTCTCGGGATTATAAATAAGAAAGTTAGAAAAACACTAAGAGAGAGAGAGATAGAGAGAGTTATTTCTAGAGAGAGAGGGATCTAGATAGAGAAATGGGGTTCGAAGAATACAAGCCAATAATAGTGATGGTAGTATGTCAGTTCATATACTCGGGAGTGACGCTAACTGGAAGAGCTGCTCTTCTTCAAGATATGAGCTCTAGGGTTTTTGTTGTCTACAGGCAATCCATTGCTTTCTTCATTATTGCTCCCATTGCTATTTTCTCTAGGTATTTTTTTTATTAATATTTTATTCATTTATTCAAAAATATAATTTCACGATTAATTAACATTTTAATATTGATGGAGTGATGATGAATTACGTATTTACTGTGTGTGTGCATGCAGGAGAGGAACAAAGGGATGTTTTATGGGATGGAAGACCTTCGGTTTGATTTCTTTGCTCTCTTTCGTCGGGTAATTTATTCATTAATTAATTAGTATAACCACTCTTTAATTTGTTTTTTTTTTTGGCTAAATTAATATAAAATAAATTTTGAGGAGATTAATTAATAGATTAAAATTGGCTAGATATTTATATTTAGGGTAAATTACAACCACCCCTGAGGTATAGTTAAATTACGATAAAACCCCTCATGTTTGGATAATTATAATTACCCCTCAACTATGGATCTTCTTCATACACATTCACCTTAATTGTGTCAAATTCAGCATAATCTTTTAGATTTCGTTGAATGTTCTCTAATTTGTACTCGTTTTTGTGCAAGAAATGCAGTTTCTGATGCACCAAAATATGATATTTTCAAGCTAAAAAACACAATCTTATGATCATCTTGTTTCAAAATGTGGAGCTCGAATGGGATAAAACGGGTAAAAAGAAAAATATTCCATATAATCTAGAAGTTTCCACTAAATTTGACAGCGCAATGTTGGACGTACGTGTAAGAAGATATATAATTGAGGGGTGGTTGTAATTACCCAAACATGAAGGGGTTCTTTCGTAATTTGACCATACATCAGGGGTGTGGTTGTAATTTTCCCTATTTAATTTTTACAAACTCAATTTTTTTTAACCTTATGGCAGCGTGACAGTTAACCAGAACGTATATTTCGAGGGTTTGTACTTATCCTCGTCATCAGCTGCAAGTGCACTCGCCAATTTGGTGCCTGCTATTACATTTATCATGGCTTATATCTTGGGGTAACAATTTAATTTATTTATATACATTCATTCAAAATCATTGAAAAAAATTAATCTCATTTTTCGCAATTGTAAATATTAGATTAGAAAAAGTCGAGCTGCGAAGCATGAGAAGTGTGGCGAAGATCATCGGAACAATTTGCTGCGTAAGTGGTGCAGCTGCAATGGCATTATTGAAAGGTCCTAAATTACTAAACACAATTGAATTCCATAATAATAATCAGACAACAAAAGACACTTGGTTCCTAGGTTGTTTGTTTCTCCTAGGTAGCACTTTCTGCTGGTCTATTTGGCTAATTCTCCAGGTATTATATTAATCATCTCAACATTTTTTTTTCGACAAAAAATACGTAAAATACATTATACAAACTGCAATGTTAAATGTCGTTTCAATTTTACTAATACCGTTTTGACTTCGAACCTAATTTTGATATATTTCTATTTTGATTTTGGCAAAATTCGAAACACGAAAACTGTAGTCCTTTGGGTTAGTTTTCTAATCCAACTTAAATCCGCTAGATTGAATGTCGTGCGACAAAGTTATGCATGAATGAGTCACGTGCTGAATTTTCGATACCTTAATACATCAAAGTTGTGGGCAGTATCCATTGATTCATGTATATCTTTCTCGTCCGAAATCCAATTTTGGTGATTCAAGTTGGATTAAAAAACTACCTCAGAATACTACAAATCATATTTTTCGGGTTTTGCTAAATTTGGAATAAAAAATGATCAAAAACATATTTGAAGTCGAAGCGGTATTATTAAAACTCGAACGACATTTATCACATCCTTATACAAATTATAATTAATTAAAATGTATATGTCACATTTTTTTTTATTAACACAGGTGCATGTAACTGCTTGCTACCCAGATCATCTTTCACTAACAGCATGGATGTGTTTAATAGCAGCAATCCAATCCGGAATATTGACACTAATCGTCGAGCCGAATACGAGTTCGTGGAAATTAACTTCACCCCTTCAACTATTTTGCTGCTTTTATGCTGTGAGTAAAACAAAAACAAAATGTCACGTTTAAAACTAATTAATTAATTTATTTATTTTAAAATTTTCAAGAACATTTAATTAATTGTTAAATAAAATAAAAATTATTAGGGTTTGGGATCAGCAGTTACATTCTTTGCACAAGCATGGTGCATTGCAAGGAGAGGGCCACTCTTTTCTGCTATGTTCAATCCTCTGTGCACTGTCATTGTCACGGTTTTTGCGTGTGTTTTTGTGCACGAAGAGTTGTACACTGGAAGGTACAACTCTTTACTGCATCTCCTAATTAATTGGGGATATATGGATTATCTTGTTAATTAATTGTTTGTTTGTTTTTCCTGATAATAGCTTATTAGGTGGATTGGCTGTGATTGTTGGACTTTACGTTGTGCTATGGGGCAAAGCAAAAGACCATGAAGATGTAATTAGTGAAGATCAGAGCAGCCAATTAGCTTCAGATAATAGTACAATTAGCTGCATAATTGATTTGGGAGTGCCACTTTTGCCTGATAAAACATCAATCAATTAAGGGATTATTATGTAATTAATCTTGGATTAGTACTCTGGTTAATCAGTCTTGGAATATCACAGCCATTCAATTAAATTAGCTCCCTTAATATTTTTATTCATTATCTTTTTTTTTAAATACTACTTTATTATTATTATTATTATTATTATTATTATTATTATTATTATTATTATTATTATTATTATTATTATTATTATTATTATTATTATTATTATTATTATTATTATTATTATTATTATTATTATTATTATTATTATTATTATTATTATTATTATTATTATTATTATTATTATTATTATTATTATTATTATTATTATTATTATTATTATTATTATTATTATTATTATTATTATTATTATTATTATTATTATTATTATTATTATAATTATTATTATTATAATAATAATTATTATTATTATTATTATTATTATTATTATAATTATTATTATTATTATTATTATTATTATAATTATTATTATTATTATTATTATTATTATTATTATTATTATTATTATTATAATTATTATTATTATTATTATTATTATTATTATTATTATTATTATTATTATTATTATTATTATTATTATTATTATTATTATTTTTAACAGTATTTCTAGATGATTATACTAAATTTTTAGAGAATGTTGCAATTAATTTAACTATATTGAATTACTACTACACATTACATAATAAAAATATTTCCAATTTCAATTTGTAATTCACTCCTACCTCCTGATTGAACTGATCCAACAACGAACCATATACACACACGAACAAAAAAAAAACGATTGTATTTACGCAACGGAACCGATAAAAATACGCAAAAACAAAATATTAAAACATGGAAAATTCAACATGATTATTAATTAGATAAAACATTTGATGTACAAGACTAACTGTAAAAAAAATGACTAAGGCCAGCACACAAAGGAGGCAACTGAAAGAGGATAAGGAAAAGTATTAGAATACTGAAACTCAATGGCGTGGCCACCGGGGATCGGCCTACCCCCGTAAACGAGACAATTATCGTAATCAATCCGCTTAAAATCGTTAGGGTTAACGACGTTAGCCGAAGCGAACCAACCGCAGTGAAGGTGAACCCTAGCAACCCAACAATCCGTACACAAGTTTACAATCATTACACTAAACCTCGGTATCCCCACTGAAGACTCGTCGCCTTGGCTGACTTGGATTTGCACGTGCGGGCATGAAGTTTTCCACTCCCCTCTCTTTTCCGACGGATAATCAAACACTTGTAATTTTGATTCAATCGTGTTTGGAAATAGCACTAAGCTTATAATTACGAGTAGAGATATGGAAATTATGTTAGTTTGGTGACAAGAAATGTTGTTCATCTTTGACGAATTTACGAGATGTACGTGTAGTGTACGGATAGTCCACAAGAGAAAAATTATGTGCTAGATTATATAAGCGATTTTTGGCCTCGGTATATTGAAACAAAATCGACTCGTATTGAGGTCTTGGATTTTTTTCTATGTTATTATTATCAGGAAATTTGCAGACAATTGAATTACTTACCATCTTCAGCTGATAGCCCTTTTAATAGTAATGGATTTTAATATCACATCCTATATTTTCATCAACATTTATATGTTTAATATTAGGTCTTATTCTTCAATGCAAGATTGACAAGTATATAGTAAGTACATCTGTACATGTATCATGTATGAATAGGGAGGAAAAAAAAGTAAAAAATGAAAAAGTAAAAAATGATTAAAATAAAAAGTATAAAATACATTGATAGTGTGGAGATGCGGGGTATCGATCCCCGTACCTCTCGCATGCTAAGCGAGCGCTCAACCATCTGAGCTACATCCCCAATTGAGATAACGTTATTTATAATATGTTTAGTAGGATGATAACACAAATAAATGTTTTTGTCCGCCCATAAATCTTAGATGGTCTAAGCGGACTGGGCCGACCCGGTATATGTAAACAAATATAGGCTCATTAAGACCGAACCCGTAAGGCCCGGCCTAGTCAGTAATCAACCGGTTTGTTCTAATTTACAGCCCGAACAAAGAAGAATTGTTCCCAACGGCAATTTGAGTATTCGGCCCAAAGATTCAAACTCCATGGGCGGGAAGCGAGTCGGAGCTGATACGAGTTTGCAACCCAAGGAAAAGGTGATCTTTCGTCAAAGCTTCAGCCTTTTTTATCTGCAAAAATATCCTAATTTAATTTGCTGTACATGATTATCCCAGTGTTTGAGTAATTTCGTTTTACTGCGTTGTTGATCACTGCTGAAAAGTATTATTCTTGATTGACTGACAGCGTTGTAAAATAAGTTTTGTTGGCGACGATGATGATGATGATCGGTTAAGTCAATTACCGGACGAAATTCTGATAGATATACTGTCTATCCTGTCGATCAAATGAAGCAGCACGCACTAGTGTTTGAGTACAAATATTATCAATCGAGCATACTAGTAACTCTTACTATTTAGTCAAACTCTACTTAATAACGACAAGTCGACAACTAAACGAACATAAGCTGAACTCAATATATTTTCATCAGCATTTCTATATATGTTCAATAGTAAGCTGCAATATTAGGTCTTATTCTTCAATGCAAGATTGAAGAATATTTTCAATCACCAAGTATATAGTAAGTAATAGTACTAGTGCATAGCAAAAAAAGAAAAAAAAAACAAGGTTTAGAAACTGATTCAGCAAAGTAACAAAACAGTACTTTGATATTTTGTCAGCAGTAGCTCCTAAAGAATATTCCCAGGATCTGGCAGTACATCGGAATCAGTCCAGTCGTGAACAGAAAGACGCTGGGTCCCGGTCCACTTCTCACCGGGATACAACGTAATTTCACTCCCCACGACAGCTGCCTCAACACAAATAAACTTCCTATACTCTTCATCTCCTATATCGGTCGTATCCCTCGCCTCAAGAGCCCACGGATTCCACACAACTACCAATCAAACTAAATTTTATCAACCCACGTTTTCTTAAAAAAAAACATAATCCGTTGCATATAAATATGACACTATAAAGCATGTATATATATATATATATATATATATATATATATATATATATATATATATATATATATATATAAAGCTTACCAATGTCAGGAAGCCGATCATCTTTATGAATGGTAAAAGTTCTTCGAATCTCATGGTCCACAACAAAGATCTCATTAGAAGTGTTCAGATATCCCCTGTCGAACTAAAATGGTTATTGAAAGTCAGATCATCGACAGATTATAACTAATTAATTACACAAACATAATATATATATGTATATACCTCATTTTCGATAGTGATTGGATAATCCCCTTCAATACAACGCCTGTGGTTCCGCGTCATATAGTCCAGATACACCAACGACTGCAATCCGTCAACCTGAGTTGCACTGGAAAAGGGGTTATTTAAGTTAGCTGCTGCAATTATAATAATAAAAGAAAATTTAATTTGCAGTAATAATATAATGTTTCATTAGTATTAATTACTTGATATTTGAAACAGAGAAGTAGGTGTGAAAGGAAAAATTGAATGAGAAAGGCCTCCCGTTAGTGTTGACGTTTTTCACGCGAGATATCATAGTCAGATCTCCGGTGGGTCCCAGAATAACACGTAAACGGAGCTCAAATCTGCCACAAAACACGAAAACATATAATTGCGATTTTCGATATACGAAACGTGGAAAATTAATTAAAGATCGGTTGTCGAGTACCTATGTCTACGCCAGTTTGGGAAGTCGTCAGGCATATGATTGAGGATTAAATCAATAAATGCATTATCAGCAGTTAGAAGGGGAAGATCCGAATCTTCCAGCTCAGCATCGATTACCCAGTCTCTGGTTCTAGCAAATCCATTACCCTCCACGCATCCATAGTCGAAAAACTGATCATGAAAATTAATTTTGTACACCATTTTAATCAATACACGACGAGGCCGAATAAACACAGTTAGGCAAATACGGAGTCGTAAGGAATAAACGAAGCAAAATAACCTTTGGGAAGCAAATCGGAATGCCTCCACGAAGCGGATGTGGATGTTCGTAATCGGCCTGCAAAATTGAAATATGTTATTTAATTATTATTTATGACACCATGCTCAACACTTGAAGAACAACTTGATTATTCAAACTACAGAACAATTCAAAAACACAGATTCACAAGATACACAAATTAATAAAAATAATTAAATCAGAAAATCAGTGGTAATTAAATAAAATCAGAGAAATAGAAATTACATTCTCGCTGACAAAAAGCAACTCTTCTCCACGCGCATTCTTCCATGATATTACTTGACCTCCGTAAAGAAGAATCTACATATGTATATGGATCGGAGATTTATTATTCATCAAATCAAGTTCAAAACAGTGAAAAAATATAAATAAATTAAATAAATATTCAGAATCCAGTAACGAAATATACAGAGTTCCGTTCGAAGCAAAACGGAAAAAAAACTTGAACGACTGCGACTGAAAGTATATACCTCGGCGGAGTAGCCATCAGATTGATTGAGAGTGAAGGAAGGGCCGCCGAGTTCTCGGTTGTTAAACTGCGGAGGAGGCACCACCACCACCATATCGACTGCCGGCGGAGAAAAATCACACAGAGTGTGCGTGTTTGATTGAACTGCTGCAGAAGCTCTCGGGAGATTATGTAACTGTGCTGCAGATCGGAAAATTGAAAGTGGTGTTTTTCCGCCTTCTTCACAGTTGTGTCAATTTATAGTAACAGATTCTAGTTTCTGCTCTCTAACTGTAATCGATAGATACAGGCGGCATGTGTAGCATTTGCCGGCCCCGAAATTACCACAATACCCCCGTCTTCTCTATTTTGTTCTTCTATTTGTTTTAGTTAATTGTAAATTTATTTCTTTTATAATTTTTTCGGGACCTCAATTTTGGGTAACATTGACATAATTTGAATACATCTTGATTTTTTTTCTAGTATTTCTTTTATTATATAAATGACACATTTTTTTAATACTCAAAATTGTGATTAGCTAAATTTTATCATTTATATTTTTATTAAAAAGGGGAAAATATAACTAATCTTGAATGTGTATATATCTCATTGTACATGTCACACATATTTACATATCAACATATAAAAATATGCACTTAGATGCGTTCTCGACGTTACTCGACGACCTATGTTAATGGTGGAAGTTGGAATCATGAGATTTTCGATGTCCGCCAATTTCAAATGGCATTCCGCCGATTCCGAGCTACAATTTCAACTACTCGAACAAGTTTTCATTTTTAATTTTCAAAATCCCGATTTCCAATATTTTCTGACAGAGTTGGGATTAATTTTTCACTTTTGAAAAAAGTCGAAATTTCGAAAGTGATATTTTCTAAATATGATTCTCATGACCAAATTATATGTTCAATATAGAAGCTGCAATAGGTCTTATTCTTCAATGCAATAATACTTTCAATCACAAGTATATAGCCAAAAAAAAAAACAAGATTTAGAAACTGAATCAACAAAGTAACGAAAACCGATGAAATCGAATAAAAATCAGTAGTCCCGGACTGAAAGACGCTGATACCCGGACCACTCGTAAGAGGGTTGCACAGTGATTTCAGTCTCCACAGCAGCTGCTTCAACACAAACCATTCTCCTATACTCCTCATCTCCCATATCAGGTATCATTCTTGCATCATGCCACGGACTATACACAACTAATACACAAAAATTAATAAATAAATAAATTATTAAATAATTCGTCGCGTACAAATACGACACTATGAAGTAAGTATGTATGTATGTATGTATGTATGTATGTATGTATGTATGTATAAACCTTACCAACTTCAGGAAGATAAGCATTTTTATGAATGGTAATAGTTCTTCTACGCTGACGGTCCGTAACAGTTATCATGTTACGAGTGTTCAGATATGTCCACCTAAACCGGAAACCGAACTAATTAATAAATTAATAAATCAAACTTTGGTAAAAAAATGATCTCTTTATATATATACTTCATTTCGGAAAGTGACTGGATTAGCTCCTTCCGTATATCGCCTGCGATGCTGCAAATAGTCGACATACTCTGTCCTCTCCAATCCTTCAATATGAGTTGCCCTAGCAAAGGGATTGATTAAGTAAGTTCACTATTGCAATTTTAATTAATTACAATTAGTATTAATTATATAATTACCTGATATTTGAGACAGATAGATAAGTGTGAAAGGAAAATTTGAATGTTACAGGACTCCCATTAGTGTTGACGTTTCTTACACGAGCTAACATAGTCAGATCTCCGGTGGGTGCGAGAAGAACACGTAAACGCAGCTCGAATCTGCAATGCTTAATATAATTGCGAATTTTATATACCAAAAGTAGAAATGAATTAATTAAAGTACCTATGCTGAGGCCAGTTAACGAAGTCGGGAGGCATACGATCGAGAATGAGATCGACGAATGCCTTTCCGGTGGTCGGAGGGAGTTGAACTGAATCATTCGCTAAAGTATCCAATCTCCAGAGTAAGGTTCTAGCAAATCCATGATCCTCCAATCCTCCATAGTCGTAAAACTGATCACGATTAATTATATACATTTTTTTTTAATTTCTACTAATTAATCGATATACGAAAACGAATAAATAAACGCAATTAGGCAAATGGAGTCGAAAGGAAGCAAAAATTAACCCTCGGGAAGCAAATTGGGATGCCTGCACGAATCGTATTTGGAGTAGCTTCCCAATTGGCCTGAAAATTAAAACATGTAATTTGTTATTAGTACAAATTAAATAAACATGTAATTTTGATTGAATTCAAACAAATTAATTTATGTTGCAGAAATTAATTTATATAGAAAGTATTATACCCTCTGGCTGACAAATAGCAACTCTCCTCTGGCTGACAGAGTGTGCGTGTGTGTGTGCGTGCGTGTGTGTGTGCGTGTGTGTGTGTGTGTGTGTGTGTGTGTGTGTGTGTGTGTGTGTGTGTGTGTGTGTGTGTGTGTGTGTGTGTGTGTGTTTAATTGAACTGCTGCTGAAGAAGAGGGGATGATTGTATAAATGGTGCAGATCAGAAAATTGAAAATGGTGTTTTCCCGCCTTCTTCACAATTGTGTCGATTTATAGTAACAGAATCTAGTTTCCGCTCTCTAACTGAAATCGATAGATACAGGCATGTCCAGTATTTTCCGTTTACAGAAATTACTGAAATCAAATTTTTTTGTTTTTTCCCTAATTATTTAGATGATCTAACAATCAATTGCAAATTAATAATTTATAATAATATTGGTTTTGAATATATTTGTACGGACTATATATAAGTATTTATATATAAATAAAAACTTATATATATTTATATAACATATTCATAAATATACTCCTATACTTTTAATATTTATATATTTCTCCCAAGATCACGTATATATCCCCATTTTCGGGGCATGCCATTTCCTCAAGTCAATTTCCTCGTTTCTCCGTATTATCATTTCCGTGTAGATTATTTTGTGTAGATTTTTGACATATTATTTCAAATCAACTTACCCAACAATTTACAAACTTCAATTTTATCGCGAACGGGTTAATTATTGATTTTATATTATTCTTAACCGAAATTCGATACAAAATTAATAGGTGAAATAATCAGAAAAACAATAAAATGGCAACAAACAAGAAATCAAAAATAAAATATTTTGTTTGCCAAATAAAAACTAATTACTTAAATATTTTTTTTATTTTTGCTAATCATACGAGCACACAAAGGAGGCGAGTGAAAGAGGGTACGGACGAGTATTGGAGTACTGAAATTCAATGACGTGTCCACTTCTGATTGGCCTTCCACCATAGACAAGGCAATCATCGTAATTAACCCTCTTGAAATCATTCGGGTTGACTAAGTTGACCGACGCAAACCAGCCACAGTGGAGATGTACTTTGGCCACCGAACAATCCGTACACAAATTTGTAATCATTACAAGAAACCTCGGAACCCCGTTATAGGAAACCGTGCCTTGACTTATTTGAATCGGCGCGTGTGGGCACTGCGTTGTCCAGTTCTTACCTTGAAACGACGCCGTTTCGTTTAGCAACGTGGGAACTATTATCGGCTGATTAAATAGTAATTTTTTAGACTCGACTGTGTATGAAAATATTGCCAAGTTAATTAACAGGAGAAATCCCAAAACGACTATAGTAATATTATAAGACATTTTTTTCATCATATTTAATTTTGAAGCAAAATCGCTTCATACATACATATATATATATATATATATATATACACACCAAGGCGTGTATCTATATATTTCTATGATTATGAAGAATATTTTTGGAAATTAAGAGGGTAGATTTTGCATTAATATTTTATATTAATGGCCTTTTTTTTATATTATTTAGCTGTTAATATTTTATATTAATGGCCCATTAATTTGCTTGGATATTTCTATGCTGCGCTCGGTGAAAGTTACACCGAGTAAATTTTTAACTTTGATTTGCACACACCAATGTGGATGTATGGGTGTTTATATGTTTCTGAATTGTAAAGATATATCCGATGTATTTCATCGGATGTAGCATAGTACATATTGTTCATGCATGTAATTGTAATCTACACACCAAAAGATAAAACAAACACGTGCTGAAATTAACAAACAAACAGTAGGGCATGCAACAGAAAAAGCAGCCTTTAAGAAACATCATTAAAATTACGAGTTACGACTGTTGAATAAATGAATTAATTAATTAAACACTTGATCTAAACTAGAAACATTTAAAAAAAAATTATATTTTGCTAATTATTAATACGAGCACACATAGGATGCGACGGAAAGAGGATAAGAAAAAGTACTGGAGTAGTGAAACTCAATGACGTGGCCACTAGGGATTGGCCGACCGCCGTAGACGAGGCAGTCGTCGTAACTTAATCTCTTGAAATCTTCTGGATTAACAACGTCGGCAGATGCAAACCAGCCGCAGTGGAGGTGAACTTTCGCGATCAAACAATCGGAGCACAAGTTCGTAATCATTACAACATACCTCGGTATCCCCACCGCCGATTGTTCCCCTTGACTGATTTGGATCTGCGTGTGATCGCACTCCGACTTCCACCTAATCGCGTCTAGTTTCGTCTCGTTGTGAACGGAGTTGGACTCGTTGAATACTTTCCTGGACTCAACCATGTGTGAAAGTAGTGCTAAATTTAAGAGCATGATTGTTGTCAAAACCCTAGTATTGTTCATCTTTGCTATGTGTGTGTGTATATTAATTGTAAGATTGAGAAGAGAGATATTTGATGAGAGAGAAAATTATGTGTTGGATATGTACATATTTATGATAGAAATGTTTCCAATTGTAATTTTGGACGAAAATCATTTCATATCAAGCTGTGGGGCTTCTCTTTCTATGATGAAAATGAAATTTTGGGAAATAATTGAAATGGTAGATTTCTCACAAGATTTCGAATTATTTACTAACCATTTTTAGCCACGTCGAAGAGTTTCTAGATTTTATCTCCCACACAATATGCTTTTGTTCCGAAACATCTTATTAGGCATACGATCGGACTGAATGAGTTTTTTTTTTTTTTTAGAGAAATGTCTTCGTTTTGGCTTCTTGCCTGATTACTGAAAAATCACATATTCAATACTAGACCAATTTTATAGTTCGTTTTGATATAATTAAGGAATCGAACTTCTTATTAAATAAATAAATAATTGATTATTCAGTATTGAGTTAGTATAATCCAATCCAATTCAAATAAATTCGACCCAAGCAACCGAACAAAACCATAATCGGTGTCAGGCAAGTTAATCTGTGTAGTAACCTTTATTTACTGCAAAATATATGCTAGTAAAACGAAATTCTGTTTTTCGGGATATTCCAACAGCTCAAGCACGATACTCTAGTAAAAATGATATCAACCTAATCGGACTCGAAATGGGAGTACTTAGTCCCTCATTCGATATTTGAACAAATAAAACAGGTGTAGCATAGAAATAATCGTTACTTTGTGCATATCAAGTAACAAACGAACAAAAAAAAATGATTCCCAAGAAAATACCAAAACCTATTTCGATACGAAGAACAAGGTATATTACCAATGACCTTTCAGAAAGCATCAATTAACGGGAGGGAATAAGAATTAGAGAGGGCCAGGGAATATTCCACTCTCCCTCTGCTCGTTCCACTTTTCAACCTGAAAAAAAAAAAAGCGATCCGCAGAAACGAGAGCAGTCAAAGATAAATTGAATCACTTTGTTTTGAACGCAATATTCACGATTATAAATCAATATCATGCTATCAATCAATGTGAAGGTTGTATATGCGAAAAAGTAGGGATAGCATATTCGACAGTATCTTTTACGGAAAAAAAAATCGTAATATTCACAATGTTCGATATCATTATAGCAAAGGTAGTGATTAGACACGATAGATCATAAGACTACACTATTCGACTCTACATTATAGTATAATGATGAAATAATAAACCCCGAGTATCAACTCACCCATTCGCCTGGGCAAAGGGATCGATAGTACTTGGCGAATTTATCGCAATCGCCAGAATCTTCACCCTTAGCAGTCACGCACCTAACACCGTAAAATTTAAATTATTTCACTGCTCGAGGTAAATAGAAAATGTATATCAATGTCGTACGGTTTCGTGATATTCTATCGACTCTGTCTAGCGAATGCACATCTCGATTAGTATATGCTTTCTTCGAACAATCAAAATGGTGGCATTACATTCCAACTAAAGTACTAAACCGAGCTAAAAAATTATATAATAAAAAACATTCGTGATTGAGCAAAATATAAGGACCGAAACAAAAACAAGCACACAAATTGAATTCTCTCTCATCAGATATGCAAGGTTATTTCTCTAAATAAATAGCAAAAAAATAAAATCAATAATCATCCGAAATTATTCAAACAATTTTATGCAAGGTTATTTCTGTAAATAATTTAATCAAACCGGTGAAACTCAATGTAGCGGGTGAAACAATGCCGCGTTTGATTGGTGGTCGGAAAACGGAAATCAGCCGGCGCAGTTTTTAGCTCAACCTGAAAAAGGGCAAACGCGCGCAGATTCATACAAAACGAGAAACAGTTACAAATTGTTTATTCGACCAGATCATGTAATCTCATTTACGAAATGTAAAAAAATAATAAAATAGTAATAATTAATAAAAAAAAAAATTATTATGGATTTACCTCGCCCGCCATTGAAGATGCGATTATTGAGAGAGAGAGTTAAGAATTTTGAATTGCAGAGAGAGAGAGAGTGAAAATTGCTGGGTGTTTATTATTGGGCTTATTGGCCGGGTCACTCGATCATAAAAATTACAGTGAAATTTTGAACAGTGATTTGTATGCGGTTCGTGCAGTGGGCCTATGAGAAAGGCCCAAGTGGTTATTTGATTATTAATATTTAATTATACTTTCTTAATTCATTGTTTTTTCCTTTTTTTTATTTTTATCTAAAATGAAAATTAGATCAATAATAAAATTGGAAAACCAAGGTGGGGAACAAGGGTCCCCTCCCATTACCAAATAGGTGAATCGAGAAGTTTCTAACAATTGGGGAAGTTAATGTAGGGTCGGAGGGGTCATGACCCCCTCAAATTTTAATTTTTTTATTACTATATATGTATATAATTTTTAATTTTTTGTATTGTGCTCCTATAATTTTGATAAATTAGTTTTATATGAAAAACATAAAATTATTTTTTTTTAATTGAAGAAAATAAAGAAAAATAACAGGCGAGTCTAACAAGTAGAATAAAGAAGTTACGAATTTATTAAATCCAACTAATTTATTATTCGGTCCATCCAAAATATAAATTAATGCCAAAAAGTCTAAGTTTTTCTTTTGATATCTTATGATTATAAAAGATAAAAAAAAAACAAATGTTTTTAAAAAAAATCAGAGGCGCTATCCTCGAACCCAAAAAATTTAAGTCTATTATGTAAGAATATACTAGACTCGTCACTGTTTGAACGATTATTGTTGTCAATAATTTATTTACCTTGTTTTGTATTTAAACCTTTTAATGAATTTATACTGGCTTCGCAACTGCACCTAAAATTCCATTGCAATAATATTAGTGGAATTGTGAGTGGACAAAATATGATAAACTTGTATATATAATGATAAAATTGATGACTACGCATCACACGTTAGAACATCCAAAGCACGTTTTCCACTGCATGCGTTCAATAGCTTTTTTCTTTTTTTCATGCTACATTGCTTCAATTTGACTTCACCTTAATTTTTCCCAATAGTAACAAGCCAAAATGCAATTCCCACTTGTGAATTATTTATTCTTTTTTGGCAATATAATATGTTCGCATTGCAAATTACCAACCCTAGCACATATATAACATCTATAAATAGGTCACCATTCCAACATTCTCATTGCTCACAAACAACTCCAAAACCACATAGTAACCAAATCAAAAACTAAGGAATTCTTGGTTTAATTTAAGCTTTAAAAGAAAGTAGCTAGCTAGCTATAAGCTATGGCAAAGTTGAACTCATATGTTCTTCTTGCTTTGCTTGTTATACCTACACTCGCCTCGATTTCCGAGGGCCGGATTGCAAGGAAGGATCTTGGCTTGGACTTGGGCGGCTTAGGCGGCTTAGGAGTCGGCATAGGAGCCGGAATTGGCATTGGCTTGGGAGGAGGTGGCAGTGGCTCAGGAGCCGGAGCTGGAGCTGGCTCCGGCTCTGGTGGTGGTGGGTCCAGCTCGAGTTCGAGTTCCAGCTCGAGCTCGAGTTCCACTTCGAGTGGCGGTGGTGGTGGTAGTGGTGCGAGCTCAGGAGCCGGCTCGTCTGCTGGTTCACGAGCTGGATCCGGTTCGGGTGGTGCAGGTTCGGAAGCGGGCTCAGAAGCAGGGTCTAGTGCTGGATCACGGGCCGGGTCGGGTGGCAACCGTGGATAAAGGGTTTTTAGCCATGGGGGAATTATAAATATATTGGATGTGTTATATTATGTGTCATATTTATGTTTGTAGCTTGAAAATAATAAGGACGTGTGGTAATACTTAATATGTACTTGTTGAATATATATGATTGTTGCTATGGGTTCGATATTGTAATGGAATAATTTTCTTATTTACAATCACGATTTTCGAGTGTTTTAAGTCGTTCGGTTTCATTTTAAACTTCTCGCAAACAGAATCGAGATGAAATCAGAAATTCAACAAAGGAGAGTTAATTATTTAAATTTAATTACCCGAAAAATAATGTTATTAAGATCAAGACACTGAAATACAAATTATTCAAATTGAGAATGAAGGAATTTAATTGATTATACTGTTATAAAAATTTATTATGACGAATTTTTTTTTCTCGAAACTGTTCCATTTAGATGCAAACTTATATTTGCACCAAAGACGAAATCTCTCGTTTCCAGACCCTCATCCTTTGACCCGACAGATTTTTGATGGATTCGATCACGGATATACTTCGAACTTATTGTTACAATTAGGTTTTCGTAACGAGTTCTACAAGATTGGTAAGCCTAAAAAGAAGGTGAAGTGTGAATTTGTGACAAATATTAATTATTAAATAAAAATATGATAAATGAGTGGTAATAAAATTTGGACCAGCTAAAAGGATTATAGGCTTTATCATTCAACAAACTTCACATGCTAAAAGGAAAAGTGTATATAATATGTAATCATTATAACAATATTCAACTCCATCTCGTCCACAATGCATGCATGAAAATATATATAAAAATATAAAAAGATAATAATAAAAATTATAATACTAATAATAATAGGGTAAACTTCAATTTACCTACCTGAACTATACCCAAGGTGTAAAATACCCCCTTCAACTTCAAAACGTACCAAAATGGCCCTTGTGGATTTCGGGTCAACGTTAAAAAACTGTAGAAAAGTAACACCGTTAGTTTTTAAGTGTTTTTACATTTTTGTCCTCCAACCTTTTATTCTTCTGTTTTTTTATTCATCTGCTTCCGTTTCTTTCTTTTCTGTTCCTGCTCTGAATTTTTCTTAGACAAACCCAGAAATTTCTTCATCAAATTAAAAATCTCAGAACCTTCAAATTTTTCTTCTTCAAATTAAGAATCCCATAATTTTCTTTTCTTCCAATTGCTAGCAAGTTCATACTACATCCAAGAAGAAACCAAGAATCTCAAACCTTCAATTCTACCCACAGTCCCATACAATCCACCAATTCAATGCTTCCTGGTCTGCTCCTCCACCACTCGAATTTTGCTTCGAAAGTCCATAGAGTAACCACAAGTGACTAGGCGGTGGAAAGAGTCGATGGCGGCCTTGGCTGTGAAAGGGGGCGGCGAAGACGATGTCGGAGACGGTGGTGGTGGCTGAGCAGGAAAAGAGGCGGCGACGACGACGCGATGGAGTTTCTTCCGATCAGCATCATCGGGCCGCAGCCGCACACACGACGGAGTTTCCTCTTCTTCTTTAATTTTCTCTGTGAAAATCGATTTTCTCTAGGTTTAAACTTTGTCAAAATAGATTTAAAATTGATGATGGGGAGGATTGAGGAAAGCATTTAGGTGGCCTATTCAATGAAATGAGGCCTCTTTTTTTCAACCGGCGAGGAAGAGGTGTAGAGGTGGCGGAGCCGCGGAGGTAGTGCAGGAGTTCCTTTTGGGGAAATTGCAATGAAGTCCTTATTTAATTTCAGAAATTTAATATAAATTATAACTTGGCCTTTATTGAGTTTTTGCAATTATTTACTCATAAACATATATATTCAAGAGAGGGTAAATTAGTCAGAAAAATAGAACAGCTGGAATCAAGGTGGTAATTCAAAAAAGTCAACACGCCACATCAGCAATGGTGGACGGATATTTAATGGAGGGGTTGTTTTGGTTCATTTTGAAGTTGAAGGGGGTATTTTACTATTTTACACCTTGGGTATAGTTCAGGTAGGTAAATTGAAGTTTACCCATAATAATATAATATAATTATGTATCGTGGTGGAATTAAGTGGCAAAATCTCAATCACTTATAAGTTATAATGGCCAGTGCATAATTTATTAGAGGAGTCCAACAAACTTTCCACTGCTTATGCCTAAAGCTTTTTTCGTCCACATAAATATTTGCTTAATTTCAATCCATACAGAAGCTGATGCAGAAAAAAGTGCTTTTGGAACGTAATTATTATCTCTAACTAGTAATTGTACCCGTGCGATGCACGGGACAACAAATTGCATGTTTTGATGTTGTAAGTATATACACAAACATTTGATGTATTCGTATGATAAAATTTTTATTACAATCATTCATTAATAATTCATCAGTGGAACATAGTAAACTAAGTCTACTTACTACACAAAACAAAAAATAAAAAATAAGCAAATTTTATCGACAACATATCATTGGAAAAGGATATCTCTGCATCTTGCATCGTAACTAAGCCCTTCTCCTAACCTTCCATATATTTGTGTCAAGATCAACTTCATGCTTCCCCGACATATCGACTGCATCGACGCTTAAAACTGAAATGATTCACACATAGTAAATTAAGACGTGGAAAATGTGATTACACTAAGAAGATAAGAGTTTCACGAAAGCAACTCCTATTTGCCACTATAATACATTATTCATATGTTTTTTATATTAATTATTGAAAAAACTCCTGCCAGTTTACGAAACTTTCGAAAATTGCATCATACCCACAACGGGGGTCAAACTGTAATTCTTAATTTTACGAAGCTTCTCACCCTGTTTCATTTATTATTTGTGAATCCACCGATTGAAGCATTATGAAAAGGAAAGCATGTGCTGAATTGGGTATTAAGTCTTTCGATATCTACCTTCCGGAGGACCAAAGTCCACGAATTGATAAAAAAGATGAAAGGGTGCAATACAAATACATGAGAAAAATACAGATGCAAATAAAATGTACAGAGGGAGTGAAAAAAAAAGGTGAAAAGGGAGAATCCTTACCGTATCTTCTGGTTTCACTTTGCAAAATAGCTAAATATATGAATGGGTTGAGAAGTTGAGAGGTCGGATATAAATATGAAGAGAAAACATTAACGTTTTCAAGTGGGAGAGAGAAGTTGAAAGTGTTGGGAATCCGAAAAATCGGAACAATAAAGATTGAGATGGAAAATAAATAAAAAAATTACAAAAAATATGCTGGAGATAAAATAATATTAAAAATGTAATAAAATTCGAAAATAAATAAAAATTGAAAAAATATGCAGGAGATAAAATTAGGAGTGAAAGTAAAAAAAAAAACGAAAAAGATATTTTAATAATTAGAAGATTTACTTAATTACAAATATGCCATTACGGTTTTTCTAGGGATGCCCAACGTTTTTTTCCTTCATATATAAGAATAATACAAAAAATATACTGGAAATAAAATAAAATTAAAATTAAAAAAAAAAAAACAAAAAAAGAGATTTTAATATTTATAATATTTAATTAGTTGTGCATTAGAGATTTTAGGGCTGAAAATTAGGAGCGAAAGTTACAAAAAACGAAAAAGAGATTTTCATAATTAGAAATATGCGATTAGGGTTTTTTCTAGGGTTGTCCAGCGTTTCTTTCTTTTATATATAAGATAAGATTGGCATCTTATTTTAAGACAAATTAAAATACTAAAAAAATAGATTATAGATGTATAAAACAAAATTCACTACACGGCCCAGTATTCTTTTTTGTATTTAATTCAAATGGGTTAATATATTTGCATAATAACAATAAAATGTAGCCCAAAAGATGTGTACATAGTTTAGAGCTAAAAGTTGGCCCAATAACCTCTTAAATGAAGTTTTGTTCTAGGTATTCAACTTGCAACAAATCTTCAAATTTTAAAAACGTTAAATTACGTCCACCCCTGAGGTAATGTCAAATTACGAAAGATACCATCACATTTTCTTACAAAAAGCCCCCATTCCCTGAATTATTTATTTTCTTACAGAAAGCCCCCATTCCTCACTAAGTAAATTTAACATCGTAAGGTTTGACGTATAAGATAATACATTATTGATGAGATTGTTGTAATTACCTAAACATTAGAGGTTTTTATATAATTTATCGTAACCTTAGGGGGTGAATGAATATAAATTTAGTTCACATTATTTTTAATATTTAAGCTCACTGACTCTACTCACAGCCAGTACATTTTTTTAATATTTTATATAATATTATTTTGCTCTCTAATTGAAATTTACACGTCAAAAGGGAAAAGGCCTCGAAGCTTCTGGTAGAGTGTGAGTACAGTATTTTTCATTTATATATGAAATATAAATGAATTAATTATCTAATTAGCAATTAATTTAGTAAGAAAAGGTAAAATAAAGTAGTATATAATAATAATCAAAACTGGACAGCTGGCAAACAGAGTGGCCAGCCATGATTGCAGCAGAAATCAAGGAGATAAGGTCACACAGTCAAAATCTATTGTTCAGCACCGTCCACAATATTCTCAAGGGCAATATTGGAAATTCATAGTAAAAAAATAATATGTTGAAATTGCCGAATCTTTTTATTTAAAAAAACGTGAATAAATTGACTATAATTATAATTTAATACAACGTGAATAAATAAATTGTGGTGTTCATTGGATTCGATTTGCCGGCAAAAACTTTGGTTAATTGGTTCAATTATGCTGGCTACGAAAGGCCAGTTTTAACGGTTTGACATTTGTCGATTAATATTTTTAAGTAGAGTGAATGTACCGAAATGCCCTCCGTTTCCAAATAGTAGTCGTGTTTCAGTTTTATACTATTATTATGTTATTTCTCGATAAATAAATATAGGTGCTTCAAATAAAATTTCAATTTATTACGAAAAAATCATCTTGAAGGGCCCACGCCCAAAGGTTCATATCTACAAGCTCATAGATACACACAAACCAAGCTTATACAGGCCCAAGTTGGTTAAGGCACAAATTGGCAGCTCATGTTAAGTGACTTAGGCCCATGAGAATATATATTTCTATATAAATACCCGGAAACATCACAATTAAAGGTACGCAATTCATAATTCTCGAGCAGTCTCTTGAATTATCTGAATTCTTCTATCATACAAAGCTGACTTGAGCGTCCGACGGCTTTTTGTGATATAGTTATTTCCCACGAAAATGATCAAAAAATGTGATGGAAGAATTGCAACATGTGACGTAGAATTGTAACACATCGCTTGTACAGTGGTTGACATAATCCCACTACTCAACTCTCAACCATGTAGTAATGAATTGCCTATAATATAATCCTCGTACCGCAAATAATTAATCTCTAAAGTAGCAATGAATTGCACCATTTATTCTTAATTACTATAATGTAAATAATAATAAAATTCAAAATATTTCAATTCAGATTTAATTATCCAATACTATGCTTTGAAAATATTTCATCCAAAAATCCAAATTCACAATAAAAAAATAATTTTTTTTTTATAAAATTTCAATTCAGATTTCAAGTATTTCTCAGAAGCAAATTTTAAAAATAATACTAAAATAAAGTCAAAATTCTAATTAATAGTCCAAAACAGGAACCACCGAAATATACGTAATAAATCCACAGTTAGCTTCAAATTCGGCGCGTGTATCCCACACATTTCCCCGGTAAAACAATTTACCGAATCCCGCGTAGAAATGAATCTACAAAACAGAAAAGTCAAAGCAATCTTATACATCTTCCATTGACCGCTCATTCTTTTTAGTCTGTATTAATTTCCTTTCACTAAATTTAATTTCTATTTATTTATTTTAAATAAAATAAAATAATATTTCGATTTTCCACTCTGGCAAGCCAACCTTCACGCGTCTTCATCCCCTTATTGTGTGTGGCCACCCACTATATAATATCCTCATCTTCTTCCCTAATTCCCTTAGCAGATGCATTTCAATTTTCCATCTGCCTATGTTTTTTTCGCTTTTTCTTTCTCCATATATCAATTTTTGATAAAAAAAATCATCCACAGAAAGAAATTGCAAATATTTCAATTTTGTTTTTATTTTTTTTTATTTGATTAATAAAAAAAATAAAATGCCTTCAATGGCGGAGGAAGAATTGTTCCTGCCATCAACGCCGGGAAAATTCAAGGACAAATCGAAGACAATGCACCGGCAATTCCACCGGTGCTTCGCCTCCACGAGCACGATGTTCCTGTGGGCGTTGTTCCTGGTGGCGCTCACGGCGGCGTACCTCAGCTTCCAGTCGTTCGTCGATTCCGGCAGCAAGTACCTCTCCACCGCGTGGGGCGGGATCCACTGGGAGAAGCAGGTCCGCGCCTCCGCCCAGATCCACCGCCACAACGGCTTCTCCGTCCTCGTCACCGGCGCCGCCGGATTCGTCGGCAGCCACGTGTCCCTCGCCCTTAAAAAGCGCGGCGACGGCGTCGTCGGCCTGGACAACTTCAACGACTACTACGATCCTTCCCTGAAGATGGCGCGTAAGAAGCTCCTCGATTCGCAGAATATATTCATCGCGCAGGGTGACGTCAACGACGCGCGCATGTTAGCAAAGCTCTTCGAGATTGCGGAGTTCACGCACGTGATGCACCTCGCGGCGCAGGCCGGCGTACGTTACGCGATGGAGAATCCCCACTCGTACGTGCACAGCAACATAGCGGGTCTGGTCACCCTCCTCGAAGCGTGCAAAACCGCCGACCCGCAACCCGCTATCGTATGGGCCAGCTCCAGCTCGGTTTACGGGTTGAACGAGAAGGCCCCGTTTTCCGAGTCGGATCGGACCGACCGACCCGCTTCGCTGTACGCCGCAACGAAAAAAGCCGGGGAGGAAATAACCCACACTTACAATCACATCTACGGGCTCTCGATAACCGGGCTGCGATTCTTCACGGTTTACGGGCCGTGGGGAAGGCCCGACATGGCGTACTTCTCCTTCACAAAGAACATCTTGCAAGGGAAACCGATCACTATCTACCGGGGCAAGAATCGGGTCGAGTTGGCCCGTGATTTCACATACATCGACGACATTGTAAAGGGTTGCGTGGCGTCACTGGACACAGCGAAGAGGAGCACCGGGTCGGGTGGGAAGAAACGGGGCCCGGCTCAGTTCCGGATCTTCAACCTGGGCAACACCTCACCGGTGACGGTGCCGATGATGGTCGGGATATTGGAGAAGCAACTGAAAACGAAGGCGCATAAGAATGTTGTCGAAATGCCAGGAAACGGTGACGTTCCGTTTACACATGCGAATATAAGCTCGGCCCGAATTGAATTAGGGTACAAGCCCACAACCGATTTACAAACCGGGTTGAAAAAGTTTGTTAGATGGTATTTATCTTATTACGGCGATAATCATTAATCACGGTGAATCTGTAGAGTAATTTAATTTAATTTTTTTTTTTTTCTGCGGTGGCTTTTTTTAGTTTTTTAGCGGTTTATTTTTTTAATTATTTAATTTCTATTCTTTAAATTTTTAATTCTAAAGGGTGGAAGAAAAGAAAAAGAGAAAAAAGGAAGTAAAAGGTGAATACGTTATTTTTCTCACATATATCAGAGTTTTTTGTTGTGTAATTTTTTTTTTGTAAAGGATAAATAATTCCATTTTACAATTCATAATTGAAAGATGCTTTCGGCATTTATTTATTGATTTTTTAGAGGACTAATTTTATAGAAGATTATTTAATGTAGTAAAATAATTGAATTAATAAAGAAAAGAAAGGAATCTCAATTATTTCGAGTACACTTTACTTTGGCTATTAGGTGGCATAATTATGTTAATGGTCTCCATTATCAACATGTTTATTTGACAAAATCGTAAATTACAATTGCCCCCTAAGATAAGGTCTATTTATGTAAAATACCCCCAATTTTTCTATAATTATATCCACCCCTCTTATTTTTTATAGGGGTGGAGGTAGAATTTACAAACTTTTAAGGGTCTGGATGAAATTTATAAAAAAATGAGGAATTTTTTTTGTAAATTAACTTTAGCACAGAGATGTGATTGTAATTTCCCAAATGATAAATAAAGTCGAAAAATTGGCCCGTTCCTTGGGCTTGGTGGGCTTGCTCATCTTAATTGATTTATTCCGGCCCACCTAAAAATTGGGCAAGGGCTATGGCATAATTTATTGTTATTATTTTAATATAATTAAGGAGTATCGCGTATTAAATATAGCAAATTGTGTCTCCATATAAACAATTAACTTCTTTTATTCATAAATAAACAAATAGTTAACATTTTTATTCATAAATTAAAATTAATTAACTTTTTTATTCATAAATAAAAACTAAATAACCTTTTGAAATCGTGTTGTATCATAGAGTAGAGTAAAATCATTCAAATATAATCACATAAAAGGAACAAAATACAATCCAAATTAACCAAATAAGGAAATAATTGATTTCTTTGGTCACTTTAAATTTCCATAAAAATAATGACTAGATCTGTTTTTTCTGTTGAAGTAATCCTATTGGCCTAGTAAATAGGAAGTAGGAGCGGATCAGAATTCAAAGTGCAGTTCACATTTTTCGTATAGTTTTACGAGCAAGAAATGCCATTGTACAGTAGTTTTGATTATCGCCTTTAACACTTACGTCGTGGTTTGCAGACAATTACACGAAAATGTTCGTTAACGTTTAAAAAATAATTAATTATCTTCACAAATAATAATAGAATTTTCTAATTCAGTTTGGAGAAAATTAAATGTAGATGTTGAAATTGGCGGCTACGCATAAAATGTTGACATTTCTAATACACTTCAAATCTCCACCCAACAGATTCTCGTGCCAACTTGAGAGCCCTAATTCATCGATTCCATTCTACAGTAAGATTCGACCAGCTTTCCTGAATCTCCAATCTCACCGGAGAACAGAAATTAAACATTTCATGGCCTCCGTCCGGAGGAGGCTCCTCCCGCTCGGTTCTTCTCTTCTGGTAATTCTCCTTTTTTTTTTTTTTGTTTATTTTCATGTTTATGGTTTCTGCAAATGCGGTTCTTCTATGGAGATTGTGATTGTGATTTATGGTTATTTTTTGTAACGATGTAAATTAGCGTGTACTGTGTTTATTAGTTTCTAACTCAATTTTTTTTTCTTCTGTATTTCTGGTATCCAATCGCAGAGAACGCACGCTGCGCATTTTCAGCCTGTGGAAGGTTTTCTTTTAAAATCTCATTGTGTGCTTATGTGAAATTTGGAATATGATTTATGCGATTTTGTGTATCTAGAATTGTGTGCGAAAGGAGAAGGAATCGTTATATTTGATGGACTTCTATAATTAATTTTTTTTTTGGAAAAACTGAACTGAAATTTAGGGAGTTTTACCTTTTTCTGGTCATGTGTTCCAATGATCTCACTGTAATCATCTAAATGTGAAAAGAGGAGAAACTATTTGTTTTTATTATATATTTGAGTTATCATTTGGAAATTTTTTAGGGGTAGGAGGAAACACTCACCGTAAATTTAGCTCAGTTGTCACGGCAGAACAACGAGTGCTGAAATCGGAAGCAGAGGAAGGAAACCAGATTTTGGAGGATGACATTCACAAGATTCGGCATGCATTTAATACTGTGAAAGAAAAGTTTCTCAAAATCCCGGACGTATTGCGAGAAATTCCTAAAATAGATCCTAAAGGTTACAATCTTCTTTTTGATTTTGTTTTATGTAGCTGAACAGTCAAATTCTTCTTGCTGCTGTTTTTTTTTTTGACAAAGTTTAATGTTAACATTTTAGGCATATATATCAATAAGAACTTGAGGTTGGATAATATACAAGTGTACGGGTTTGACTATGACTATACGTTGGCACACTACTCTGCAAATTTACAGAGCTTAATATATGATCTTGCCAAAGAGTATTTGGTTAACGAGGTTTGTTCACAATTTTTTCATGTAGAGATAATATGTATCAAGTTCACTCTGTCCATATGTTTTGAGAAGACACCTAGCAGCTGATATCGTTGGTTTTTGTTGTGGGATTTTCAGATTAGATATCCTGAGTGTTGCATGGAATTCAAATATGATAGTTCGTTTCCGATAAGAGGGTTGTATTATGACAAGTCAAAAGGATGCCTAATGAAGCTTGATTTCTTTGGATCAATTGAGCCGGATGGATGCTATTTTGGCAGGCGCAAGGTATGATTTGTAACTGTTTATTCGAAATGCTTTTTCTCTTTTCTGATTCCGTAAAGAATATAAACTGTTGCATCTTTGTTTTATTTGACCAAAAAGTATTAGATAACAAAGGACAGCTACAACAATAGTGAGTCACTGAGTATGTATACACAGATATTTCCGGTAAATGAATAATAAGAGTATTAGTCAATTTACCTCTCGGTTATAATTATAATGCAGCTTAGCCGATCAGAAATCAACGACTTATATGGAACACGACATATTGGCCGTGATCAAGCTCGAGGGCTAGTCGGTTTGATGGACTTCTTTTGCTTCAGTGAGGTTGGTCCATTTCTAGGTTAAAATAGTTGTTACTTTACTTTCGACAAGTTAGGAACTGTTGTTATCTTAATCTATGTATCTCAGAAGGTATATTTCCTCGGTAAGCCATGGCTGATTGAGTCAGCGATATGTTGTTATTGCAGGCATGCCTTATTGCTGATATTGTTCAACATTTTGTTGATGCCAAGCTGGAATTTGATGCTTCTTATGTTTATGAAGATGTGAATCGAGCAATTCAGCATGTACATCAAAGTGGTTTAGTACATCGAGGAATTCTTTCTGATCCAAAGAAGTATCTCTTAAAGAATGTATGTTAACTTGTTCAGAAATTTTGCAACTATCTTTTTGTTATTTTTAGCAGCTTTAAGTGACCCAATTTCAGAGTGTCTGTATTTCTCCAGGGGCAGCTACTTCGCTTTCTGAGAATGCTAAGGGAGAACGGAAAGAAACTTTTTCTGTTGACGAATTCTCCTTATTATTTTGTCGATGGAGGAATGCACTTCATGCTGGAGGTAATCATGTCTGAAATATGCATGATCATTGTACTTGTCATCAGAGCATCAGTTTAGTTACCACAAGTCATCTTCTATATTCCATTTCTGTGTATTCGTCATTACTCTATCTGGGGAAGCCATAAAAAAAGATGCTAAGTATCTCGCATCCTTTGTTGAATAGGATTCATTGGGACAACAAGACTCCTGGAGGGAACTTTTTGACGTTGTAATTGCTAAAGCCAACAAACCAGACTTCTATACATCCGAGCATCCATTTCGGTACTCCTCTTTTCCGTTGTACTTAATATCATTTTGTCCCTCAATTATAACTTAGGGAGGTTATGGTGGTACTTAGTTTGTTACTTCATGATTGATTGGTATTTTTACGCCAATAATGATGGTATCAATCTTCATGTAACCTTCAAATGTTGTCACGGTAAATAAAAAAACTGTATTGTATCAGAAGTAGATACTAATCAGCTTGAGAAGAGAAAAAAATTGGAACGAACTTTTGCTGTCAAAACTGTACAAGGATCTCTGACTACTGAGTAAACAAAATGACACAAGATCTAAATTTCACTGTATTCAGTAAAATAAATTAGATTTCCATAAAATTCGACTTTTTGTAAAAAAAATTTGTAGAAGGAAAGTTTATGTAGGTTTTTGGCTTTAGCCAACCACCCACCCTATTATATATGATTCAGGTGACCTTTCTTATAGTTCAGTGAACATATGATAAACTTTGGTATCATGTAAGCGGTTCTTCACTTCGTAATTTTTATTGTTCATTCAGGATTGAAATCTTATGATTGCTACCGTGCTACGCAATTATTTCCTTTCTCTCACTCTTTTCGTTTTGCAAACTTGCCCCTGGAACCCCCCACGTAGCTGTTATGATGAGGAAAAGGACACTTTGGCTTTCTCTAAGGTGGATGCTTTTCTCCCAAACAATATTTACTACCATGGATGCCTGAAGACATTCTTGGAAATAACTAAGTGGAATGGTCCTGAGGTAGATCCTATATGGCAACCTCTGTTTTTTGGAGTTCATTTATATTTTTTATTTATCTCAATATATATTATTTTCTTTGTTGTTAATGATAAAAAAAATATATATATATAAATTTTTAGGTTATATACTTCGGCGACCACTTATTTAGTGATCTTAGAGGGCCTTCAAAAGCTGGGTGGCGGACAGCTGCGATCATTCATGAGTTGGAGGTATGCTTCAGTTTATCCCATCCTATATTTGCTTAAACACTATGTAAGTTTTCTTTTCTTTGTTATTCTAAATAAAGAAAGATATATATAGCTCACAATGGTCACTATAGTGTGAGCCCTGAAACCGGGGCTTTTTTCATTACTCGTCAAAGAGGTGTCCCTTATATTTTATCTGATTGTCATGCTTGAGATGAAGTAATGAATTTCGTTTCCGTGGTTGCTTTCAGAATGAAATACAGATCCAGAATGAAGATAGTTATCGTTTTGAACAGGTAAATGACGTTTCTATTTCTCTTGTTTGATGATTTTCGATATTCTGTATGAAACTGTTTATTTTTTGTATATGTATATTGTGAAAGAGATGGTCTTTTATTAAATCTATCGTCTGATTTTTAGAGTGTCCTTACCTGATATTCTGGGTTCGGTTTACCTAATTTGTTCACCCGCAGGCAAAGTTTCATATAATACAAGAACTTCTTGGCAAACTGCATTCTGTTGTTGCTAATACTGAGGGAAGTGAAAAATACACGTCTCTTCTTCGAGAGCTCAACGAAGAGAGACAGAAGGCACGTTCCACAATGAAAGACATGTTTAATAGTTCATTCGGAGCTACATTCTTGACCGACACTGGTCAAGAATCTGCATTTGCTTACCACATCCATCAATATGCCGATGTTTATACAAGCAAGCCCGATAACTTCTTGTTTTACCCACCCGAAGCATGGCTGCACGTACCTTACGATATAAAAATCATGCCGCACCACGTGAAGGTATATTTTCATTTTTCTGCAAATATTTTTTAGTATGTTATCTCTGGGGGCCCACAATCGCTTTTTCTGTAGCCCCGATTCTTGTCATTATATAAATATATGGTTATATTATATAAATACATAGTAGGCAATACTGCATAATCGATGATTGTTTCTCCTTGTTTTTGTAATATATTTCCGTGATTTCTAATAAACGTGCTTAATTTCTTTTAGGTATCTTCAAGCTTGTTCAGAACGTGACCGTAATATACTTTACATTCGAGTGGGAACACAGAAGAAAATATCTCACTGTCCAAAACTAACTTGGGACTGCAATTATTGGAATGTAGACAGTCGGCTCATTTACGAAGGCTCGATTTCTATCAGAAAACAAAAAACAGGTCAAAATGATCTTCTAATTCCAACAAAATAGTAAGAGTTTCCTTAAGACTTGTAATTCTTTCATTCTTTCGACGACGTAATCATAATCCCCTGTCGTGAAATATGATGTCAAATAAATCGAAGATGGAAAAACATGTTCTGCAGCTTCTTTTCTAGTATCACAAAAACTTCACATATTTGTCTTTTGATATATAAAGTTCATGTATAGAAAAATATTGTGAAAACTCTCACTATATCCGAATTTGGAATAAGAAATTATAAACTAGTGTAGTTTTCAAAATTTGCCAATTTTTTTTGGTACGACAATTGAACCCCATTTTCACTTTTGAACAAAATATGAAATTTCTGGAAAAGCCATTTTCAATTAATTCCGTTTGATTTCCACCCTTACAAATGCACGATTTTAGAACATTTTCGAAATGTAAATGGTAACAAAATATTTTAAATAGACGTATTAAGGGCCCCTTATTGATTTTGATAATGCAATTGACAACGTTGATAAAAAAAAAAAAATTTATTTGCGAATATGTGAAGTTAATTACTAAAAGTAGAAGGAAATATCAAAAAAATGATTTGCGAATATTCTTGGACATTAAATATTGGTATACTGATATTAGTAGTGCATCATCACAATTAATTAATATTTAATCATTTCTTACAGTATATATATATATACATATATTCTCACTGATCAGACAAAGAAAAAACAGAAAAAGGAATATAATATGGCTACTACCTCTTCAACCTTGTCCTTTCTGCTTTGCCTCTTTGTTTTTGCATCAGGTCACATTTTAATTTATAATTATATATATATTGCAAAATAATATTATTAATTAGTATTAATTATTGGTTAATTAATGCAGTTAACAAGATGGTGTATGGGCAGAGTCGTAAATTGTGCCGGTGCAGCACTGAAGTGGGGAGCTGTGTCAACTGCTTAAATATATGTACTCAAAGCTATAGCGGCCCAGTGACTGCCACGTGTGAGCAGCCTGGTGGCCGAGGAAACTTTGTCTGCGTTTGCCACCACTATTGCCCTTGTCCCAATTAATCCCGGCTTTTGAGATCCTACACCGGGTGAAATACACCGGGTAGATATTTACCATTCATATACACACAAACACACACACACCCACATTGGTATGTGTAGATCAACGGTAAAAAATTACCCGGTGTAACCTTCACCGGGTGTAGGATAGATAAAACCATTAATCCCCCACCCCGTTCCATATTTACCCCCAAATTCCCTATTTTACCCTTTAAATAATGTTGCCAATATTCTCCCTTCCATCCTTTTATGAGATAACACGATTTATTATTTCTCGATTATTTGTTTGTGCTTATATTAGAAAATATGTATACTCGTAAGTAATCAACAAATCATTTATGTCGAAATTGTTTCACTAATTTTGAAGTATTAAAACACCCATTTTTCTTTCTCTAAAAATCGTTGAAATATTCATAAATAATTTGTAACACTCAAATATATAATATAAAATATATTAATTCATAAATAATCAAGAAATTGTTAATTTAAAAAAGAAATCAATAATTTTTTAATGTTCTAGCCAAATCACAAAAAAAATGGTATACTATAGCATACATTTTTTTGCTAAAATTGCTTACTTCTTAAAAAAAAATATATTCTTAAAATTCAAAATATGTAGGTAACTAGGTATATAAGTTGTTTTTATTCATGTGTATTCAAGAAATTGTTTACCTAAAAATAGTTTCATTAATTGTCTTACAAGTCCACGTCTATCTTTACGATATCAAATTTACTTATTGAAAGAGGAATTTTTTCGTAATAAAATACATAATTGAGGGGATAATTGTAATAATCCAGGTTTTTTTTTTCGTAATTTAACCTTATTCAGGGGTTGTCCGTAATTTAAAAAATAATTATGGGAGTAATAAGTAATAAGTGTCATTTAGGCATAAACTAAACTGAAAGTTAACTCAAACGACGGCGTATGGTTCGTCAAAGCGCAAAAAGTCTAGAGTTATCTGGAATCTCCCAGCAAGACGCTTCAATACTCGAAAGTTCAAAAATCCAAGGGTTTTGATTCGACTCTGATCGAAATGGCGGTGATCGAAGAAGAACCTTCCGCTGAAACCGATCTCAAATCACAACCTAATTCAACGGCGGCGGCGGCGGGGTATACTTCCGATGGCTACGAAACCGCCAGTGATACGGAGCTGAACGACGCCGTTCTAGAATCCGACAATCACCGCCATAATAGTAATGATAATGATGCTGTTAATAAGGATAACGTCGTTAGTTCTAAAAATGGCGATGATGAGGTGAGCCGTGAGGTGAAGGAAGAAGAACAGCAAGAGAAGACCGAAACCGTCGATACAGAAGCCAATGAGGTAAACGCTCTAGGGTTTTGTTTCGATTTTTTATGAATTATGATTATTGTTAAATTTTCGTTTTGGGGAATTAGTTTTGCCTACTGCAAATTGGAGAAGGAGGTCAATCGTACGTAGTTAAATGAGATTATTTGATTGGTAATACAGTCGGTTTGTTGATAATGGTCGCAATGATGTATTTATGATCGATTTTGCAATTTCAAGGCAACTGTTGAGAAGTGCTATCAGATTTTTTCTGGTAATCAATCATCATGATTTATTTGCTTGATTGAGTCATTGTGTTAATTAATTGTTTATCTTTGTTTAATCATTTGTTAATTAGTTCAAGTACGTCGAAGTACCCAAATGTAACTCGATTAGTTCAGTTTTTAGTTTTCTTTTTTTTTTGGTCAATGATTTCACCACTTATAATGTTATCTTAATTCTGTTTGTACTTTACGAGGAGCAGAAAGCCATAGCACGAGCTAATGATGCGAAACTCGAAGGAAATTCCTTGTTTAAAGACGGACTGTATGAGGAGGCATTGACAAAGTATGAGCTCGCAATACAAACTGTCCCGAATGATCCTTCATCTAGTGAACTGCAATCGATATGTCACGCAAATAGAGCTGCTTGTTTCTCCAAACTGGTTCGTCCCTTTCATGTTCGAATGCAATAATATGTATCATATTTTTCCATCTAATTGTAGAATCTGAGATGCATAAATGTGCTTTAGGGTTCTGCTTTATATAGATTTTTTTTTCGATGAAAAGCATCTCAAAGAATATTTACTGTATAAATGACCATGGAAGATTTTGATAACATGGTTGTCAAGCTATATTGGACAGTGCTTCTCAAATTTATATGTTAGCATGCTGGGGGGGGGGGGGGGGGGGGGGGGAAAA